TAAAAGGAAAAAAAAAAAAAACAAAGAGAAAGTCTAAACCAAAAGGACCCTTTATATAGAAAACTGCTCCAATTGTTAAGAATAAGAGATAAAGGCCTCACAAAAATCTATCAAAAGGCATTGAACCTAGAGGAGGCTAAACCTAATCCAAGAACTTTCTGGTGCTCTAAAAACTCTCCTATTCCTCCCAAAAGCCACATATCAGTTCACTTCAATATATATGTCTGCCCGAGCGTGTATGTTGACATTTGCTTTGCAGCATCTTGAACATGTTCATCTCTCTGCTCTAAGTTGATTGCTTTCATTATAATTTTCCCAGTGGCTCAATTTTTTCTTTAGTAAGTTGTTTTTCAGTATGATTTATTTTATCATCATGCAAAGCAGGATTCCTCATCATTGATCAAGGCACAAAATGAAGTTGATAGAGTCTTACAAGGAAGACCTCCTTCCTACGAAGACACAAAGGAACTTAAATTTTTGATGCGTTGTATCCTTGAGTCAATGCGGCTTTACCCACATCCACCTGTACGTTGGAATAATTGTTTCTCACCCAAGTGAATTATGACATAAAGAGAAAAGAAGGAGAAGTATGAATATTTATTCATCATTCTGCTAATCTTGTTTTTATCTTAATGTTCCTTAAACCTTTCAAGGTTTTGATAAGAAGAGCTCGAGTTGCTGACATACTGCCTGGAAATTACAAGGTTAATGCTGGTCAAGATATCATGATTTCAGTATATAATATCCATCGCTCTTCCCAGGTACATACCTCAAGGGTTATGTTTCAATCTTTGTGTTAGATAGACTCTTTTGTCCATTCTAGTTTAAGCTTCACAATAAAAAGTTAAGAAGATGCTTTCTGCTGTTAAGTTGGTATATTGGTAGTAGCTGTTATAACTCAGTTGAAGGTTTTTAAATATTGTGCTTTCAGGAATGCTTACACTTGCTTCATCTAACAGACATCACTTTTGATATCCAATTAGTTAACTGTTTTTCTTAATTAACTCTCCTGAAATGATGGCTTCATATATGTTGCACTTTGACATGGCATTCTGTCTTTCAGCATAAGTGTTATCCTGATTGTAAATTGATAGTTCCATAACCATGAACATTTGAGATTTTTTTTTACCAAATTAAATAACCTAGTAATAATAATCTATTAGTTATTACCATAATTTTTTTCTGAACGAAAAACAAACTTTTTAGATGAAAAGATGGAAAAATGTTCAAGAATACAAACTTCAAAGGGAGTAAAAAGAAATCCAAAAGACTGAGTCAAGAAAAAATCTTCAAGTAGAAAAATTAGCTATTACCTTAATAATTAGGAATTGAATGATAAGTTATGGTTTGAATTTGAGCGATGGAGGGAGGCTTTCAAGGATGTTTGAAATTATAAGTGAAGTTTCTTGCATATTTGTGTGTACATTCTACCACATGCCATCCTTAGAACTCACAGTAAATACAAACAAGACATTAGGAAAGGAATCCTTTTCCCAAAATAATCTCAAAGAGAAGTTTGTTCATTACAAAAGTCAAATCTACAATGCAAAAATAGTAAAACAAGCAAAATCAGTAGAAAACTGAATGCAGAAAGAACATGCATTCTTACCAAATATTAAGTAAAAATAATTTACTTTGTCTTTCGAGCATTCTCGATTATCTTTTTGTTGCTAGTTTGGATATATATTTTTGACATAAGGATAGTTGAACATGTTCTTGCTTTGTAAAGTTGTGCAATATCGTAACTCCTATTTATGTTTCAAGGTTTGGGAACAAGCAGAAGAGTTTATACCTGAAAGATTTGACTTGGAAGGTCCTGTGCCGAATGAAAGCAATACAGATTTCAGGTACACATCCTATTTGTGTGTGGGGACTACACTGTTTTAAAAATTACAATAGGCACTTGCCAGGCGCTCAAATATAGGCATGTTTGGCGCGAGTTGCTTGACCTCAAACAAGTCATCCTCTTTAAGTCAAGCAGCCAATAAAGGTGCCAACATCCTCGAATGGTGGCATTTAAATGGCGGCGTTTAAATGTTCATGTGCAATATACACTATCTTACTTTGGCCGGCAGAGAACAAAAACCAACATTTTTTCCCATTTAGAGAAGTAATTTGTCTGATGTTCTTTCCTTACTCCTCTTCACATGGTGCCCTTCCATCACTCTGGCTGGAAAGTAACTACTGGCCACCATTTTTTCTCCTTCGTGCATATCAGTTTCCTAGAAATCCTTTGCTCCTTTGCCTTTTCGACAGTTTCTGAAAGTGATCATCCAATTACTGAATTTTAATTCTTAAAATTAGTTTGTGAACTTGATTTCAAAAGCTTGAATATTATTAAATTTCAATATTTCCGTAGTTGGACTTAATTTAACGATCTTTTATCCTCCAGATAGTATTTTACTTATTTAGTGATCTATATTTTGTCTCATTTGGACTTCTTATTTTGAAAAGAGCTTTCGCTTGGGAGAAAAAAGTGGGTAATATTTTAGATATTAGTGGCACTAATAGAGCAACATAACAATTCGATCATTTTTATTTTTGTCTTGCATTTTGAATGACGCGTGCTTTTGATCTCCCATCAGATCTAGCTACCCCATTATCCTTGCTAGTTGATAGCCTGAATAACTAAATTATACAATACAGATTTATTCCATTCAGCGGAGGGCCCCGTAAGTGTGTTGGTGATCAATTTGCCCTGCTTGAAGCTGTCGTTGCTCTTGCCATATTTTTGCAGCACATGAACTTTGAGCTGGTTCCAAATCAGACCATTGGGATGACCACCGGAGCAACTATACATACAACAAATGTAATGTTTACTACGCTCATTCAAGCATGGCTACCTTTTATCCTACATTTCTGACTTTTTTCCCCAGCAATAACCACAACTGTGATTTCTTCTAATTATTATTTCAACAATTCACTTCAGAATAGCGTTCTTGATATTTTTGGCAACCACTTTTGAAATTATGACTAAATGAAAAGAATATAATTTTTGAAAATTGTCTTTTTTAGGACAAATGATTTTATTTTTGCAACTCTGTGGACCTCAATTATGAATAATTTGTACTTATTTTCTTGAACTGATATTGCCTGATAGATCTTTCTGTTGATATTTCTGTAATTTTGATGAGTTTGTCCTAAAGAAGAATGGAGGATGTAATTGTAGAAAACTATGATTTATATGAATGATCGACACTTATGGGTGCTAATTGCAAATGCAGGGTTTGTACATGAAACTCAGCCAAAGGCAGCTGACTCCAGAATTAGCTTCCTCTGCTTCTTTAAGGTAACTGTTGAAAATGTACATAGATTCTGGTTAGGGAAGAGAGAGGAGAGAGATTGAGATTTCTATTATCGTGCTGATTCTTTTGCCTATAGACAATCACAAATGTATATTGGATCGAGTATGCAAATCTTATACACTAAAGAGTTGCATGGTCTAAGATTCTCGTAGGAATAAGAGGCTTGARAATGAGATTATTGTGTAATGCAAATCGGCCTAAAGGATTTATTATTTGAACCTAACCCAACCCAAAAAAACTTATGCCGGTTTGAGCTGGGTTGAGCAGTCATCAAATTTTCTGAACATTCATATCAAACACTAAAAAGCCTACTCCCAAGAAAAAGAAAAGTATTAAGTGGCCTCAATTTTTGTTGGGTACATGTGGAAATGAGAGTAAAGAAAGGTTGGAGATAAATACAGGCACATGTTGAAAAGAGAAAGAAAGAGAAAAGAAAGCTAAATCAAAAGGGAAAGTAAAGCCCACCCATATTAAAATTGAACTTTTGAAATGGCCTGCCCTAACTTGTTAGAATGACCTAGATTTTCTTTTGGCCCCAAATTAAAAATTTGGGCCATGAAAACAAATTCAAAAGACTAATTTAAGAATCAAAAGGAATATAAATCTATTACACTGAGATGCAATCTAGCATCAATGGAAATGAGTTGGTATGGTATCATGGGATGTGGGGAAAAGTAGATGCCAATGCCAATGGCATATCCCTTGGAAGATGCTCAAAATTGCAGCCTTTTCAATCACTTTCTACTTTTTTCTCTTGTGCTTTAACAAAAAGTGTCCACAAACTCACTTCTTAGGTCATTTCAATCTTTTTCATTGCCTTCATAAACCAACCACATCCTATATAAAACCCAACCCAACCTTCATCATCAACTCCTCTCAAAATTGAACCGATCCCACCGCCCCGACCGCGGTGGTGGCTGGAGAAGGAAGCCAAGGTGGTTCCTGATGGCTTTCCATGGTGATGCCTCTGCTCTATATTTGCTTCAGGTCAGGTGAGAGGTAGGAGATTGAAAGGGCAACTAACATCCTTTGGCATATTTTTCTGAATCTCTCTATGCACTTTTCTGGTGATGTTGGGATCCAGGAACCTCTGAACAGGGCAAGTCAGATTATGGCCCCATCTCTCTCTTCTTTTTCTTGTTTCTTCTTAAAATTTGTAGATTGAGGTAGAATGAATTACAGTGTCCTTTTAGCAATGTATGATGGAATTTCTTACGACCTTTTGAATTAATGTGTCAGATTTCTCAACATCAATGTATGTCCAAGACATTTATGTATTGAAGTTATAAAGAATAATTGTTTACAAGTAGTAGCGTATTGAAAAAAGAGTTTGTTTGTTCTAAAAATTTCAATGTTTTATAGTCAGAATTGTAACAAATTGTTACCGTACTTGACTCTATCTACAAAATTCCCCAAGAATTATGTCATTGCAAATATTCCAAACTTATAACTGCCAAATTAAATCTCAAAAAAGAAAAAGGAAAAAAAAAAAACCTGCTCAAATTATTGAATAGAAGAATGGAATAAAGTTTCAAAGTCCTACAGCTCATCAACTTAAATTTTTGACCTTAGCACAAATGGTTAGGTATCAATGTCTTTATTAAAATCAATTTGATCAAACTAAAATATAATAAAATTTAACAATTTAAAATGATCTCAACGTTTGCTGAGCAAAATCCTAGAATTCACAAAACTGGAGGGTTAAACATCATTCTGTCAAAATTTTCTATTTATCCTTTTCGAGAGAACTTAGTTGTGGAGTTGTAGCTTGACAAAAAAATGATATTATAAGAATCAACTACATTTAATTTGGCCAACGCATGGCACGATGTGTAACTATTATTATAAATTGAGAGAAATTATGTTAAAAAAAAAAAATAACGGTTAAGATATTAGTACTTGTATAATATTTTTAATTTACTATGTTTTAAGATCTATATGGTTTAGCCATTGAACTGTAATTCACACGTATTCCTTATATGATTTAAAGAATATATAAAATATTCGCGCAACATGATGGCGAGTTGTTGACAAATAGGAAGTGATTTCTACAAAGATGAAACATAATCTCAATATTAAAGCATGTCGACATCAATTTTCCATGAATTTTTTTTCCTCTTTAGGGTTTTGGGTTGAGAAAAAGTATATAGAAGTTTGATTTCTACTAGGATGAGACTTAATATTGGAGGATATATTTGCATCAACTTTTCTTTGGTATTTTTTCCCTCTTTACTTTCTCTATGTTGTTTTTTCTTGAAAAAAAAAAGTACATTAAGCAACTAAATTAAACAAGCATATCCAACCACTAACATATATAATCAAGCAAAAAGGGGGGAAAAGTAGTTACCTTAGGACTGAAAAAGTATTTCTCTTAAAAAACTACAAGATTCATGTATTACACAAAAGGTTAAAAATCAAACGGTACATAATGAAAGTTTCTCCAAGTCAAAATCAGAATGCCACTTGATAAGTAATAATAYATTATGAAATGACTTTTGAAAAAAAAAGTGCTTTTTCAACAAAAAAAAAGTAACCTTTTTTCTCATTCAAAAAAAGAAAACAACATTTTCTATCTTTGGGAGATCTGAAATTGATGAGAAATGATTTAAAATTTCAAGATTTTAAATAATGAAAATGATTTTAAATTTTTAATTGCATTTGAAATCAAGTGGATTGAAACATTAARAGTAAAATTTCTTGTTTGAATGTTCACGAAAAATAAAAAGATAATATAATATTTTACTATTATGTCCTTATAATTTAGCATGATATTATATTAATAATAAAAAAATATTTTAATATGAAATAGTAATGTGTCAACCACATAAAAAATGAAGTCATTTAATCAAATAAAGATAYTAAATTATACCTTGCCGATAAAATTTAAAAAATTGTAAACAAATATTAAAAAAAAGAACTTAATGCTTTGTTTGGTAGAGTTTCTCAAGTGATGTAAGATAATAATTAAAAGTATTTTTTTTAAAACAAAATCTATAATAGATTTTGTAATAAATAATTTTTTAAAAAAGAAATGAATTGCTTTAAAAATCTTTCTTKAAGAAACTCTTCTAGGGGGAATTATCTAAAAATGTTAGAGGGAAGACGTGATTGAAAAATTCTTGTATTTTCAAAATATTTATTTTGGTTCTTATTCTTCTAAAAATGATCATTCTAGTCTCTATTTGTAAAATTTTAACACAAACTTTACATATAMTGGAAACTCTTTAATATAAAATAATAGTTATATTTRAAAAATATATATTGAATGTAGTACCGTGTTGAAATTGTGGTAGAAAAAATGAGATTAGAAATAAAATTAAGGGGTCAAAATAATCACTTCAAGAGTACATGGACCAAAATGAATATTTTGAAAATACGTAGTCCAAAATGAATCAAAGTTAAAAGTATAGAAATCAMAATTAATTAGAGTTGAAAATACAGCAACCCAAATAATATTTTAACCAAAACTCTTTTATTTGCCATAAAGATAAAGATAAAAAAATAAAATAAAACTGGAATTTTAAATAAATAAATAGATAAGACAACAAATTTCGTATGTATAAGAAACCTAAGGAGTATTATTATTGAGGACTTATTATTAAACACGATCATTCATGCATGCAAATTGTTCAAAAGTATTATAGATTTACAAATATCTACATTCTCGTTTTCTTGTTCTAAAACGATAGTRTCGAGGATCGTCTGATTTTCTCCATTCATAACTCTTCCCTCTTCTAATTCTAATCATCGACCATTTTTCAACCTGCAACAAAACAAAGAAAAGAATAACGWATATAAACAACTCTCGACTGATTAAGTCATGCATATCTCGAGAAAGAAGAAAATTAAGCCCACCCCTCTGACAATGATGCGGTGGGAAGCTTGCTCAAAGTGGATAGGTAATTGGTAAATATCCATTGCCCAATGAGTTCTTTTTGGTAATTTTGTAGCTGGATTTGATCTTGTTCTAATTCTATAATACACAGCATCTCTCTTTAACCCCATCAATTCTCCATCTTCATTTCGAACTGTATATGAATTCCCTCTGAATTTCCAATATCCTTCTCCATTCCCCACCATTATAATATCCTTTGCATTATTATAATTTCCCTTCAAATCTTTCTCAGAACGCACGAAAAAATACCAATCTCTCAAATTAGGGTTGCATGGCACTGACACCAACGACACACAATAATATTTCAAGAATTAGGGTTTAGATCACAAAATTCAAGAATTAGGGTTTTTGAGAAGAAGAAAAAGAAGAAGAAGAAGAAGAATTTAATKAATTAATATATGATACCGAAGCGATTGGGAGGCGTTTCGAATAACTGAGAAAACTTTATATCGCGAATAAATCCTCCGGCTGATGCGTTTGGTTTCTCCGAAACTTTGTTCCTCAGAAAGTGCGTAAGGATAAGTTCGTCGCTCGGCTTAAATCGGTACCCTGGCGGTAATCTTGTCTGAGATTGGGCCGCCGCCTCCACCGCCGCCGCAGCCGCCGCCCCCATGCCTTCTGATCCGATCGAATCCATTTGTGTAAAGATTTGGAGAAATGGCGGGCGGTTCTTCCGTTGTAGTGAAGACTGAACTTCCTTTTATAGTGTTCTCTTGGGACGACGAAATTATTTTATTATTATTTTTTCTTTTGATAATGATGGTAATGATAAGCTAGAATTAATAAATAAATTTAATTAAAATTCGTCGCGAATAATTTAATATTATCTTGATGTACGAATTAAAATCTTTGGTATTTCATTAATTGAAACTTTCTTAGTTGGGAAATTTKGTATGTCTAAAAATACCCAAGAAAAAGAATTGGATTTTTTTTAGTTTTAACATTAAGCTTTTAGTTCATCTCAAAAAAAAAAAAGCATTAAGCTTTTAGTTTCATTTGATGGAGTTCATATAAACCAATAAATAATAGAAGTATGGGTAAAATATATTTTTGGTTCGTGATGTTTGGACTTGATTTCTATTTGGTCCTAAGTTTAAAAATAATCACTTTTGGTCTATGAAATTTAAGTGTAGTTTTAATTTGATCTTTAAATTTCAAAAGTGACATATTTGGTCCTGGAATTTGAATTTATTGTCCCTAAAGTTTGAGTTTGATTTCTAATCGATTCTTAAGTCGAGTTGACTATTAGTTGACGTAAAAGAATGATGATGTGACAATTAACATGTTGCTGAAGGGTAGATTTGCATTGGGTCAAGGACACGTGCCACACAATGTAGAATAGATTAACATATATTGTGTTGCTTGTTCATAAAGTAACATCTACTTCGTAGGTTTTCATGCGTATGTGCACGTTTGGTGCCCCTCCTCTTCTTCAATTACCCTCTCCTAAGTGCCGCATCATTTAAAATAAATATATGGGGAGACTTATAAAGTTATCCTAAAGGAGAGAATTGGTTTTTTAAAAAAGTCTTTGTTTTTGTAAAATACTTGAGTTCGCACTATTAAATATTTGACAATTTATTATTATTTTTAAAAAATCTTTGTTTTTTATCTCTCTTAGTTGTCCAATATTTAATGGTGAGTGAGGAGGGACAAGGTTGCTCATGGAGTCAAGTATTTTTCGAGGGAGAGATGCAAAAACAAAGTTGTCAAATATTTAATGACGAGGAGTAAAAAGTTCCTTGTTGCTGTGGAGGAAGGTATTTTCCTTTCTTTATTCCTCCTCCGAATCCCAAAGAAATGAGTACAAATTTCAAGTTTTTTTTTTTTCTTTATACTTTTTTCTCCTATTAACTTTTACTAACGTATTATGTCAATAAGTTTATATCAAATATTTGAGGAAAATTTAATTGACAAAGAACTTTGGAGCTAGTCTCTCTATCATAGTTGAGAGCCGAGCCGAGCCGGGTAAAACAAGCTGCCACTCCTGGTTGACTAAAGGACATCTATCAATCAAGTTCACACTTTTTAGAAATCTCCTTAACGTTCTTCCTAGAGAGAAATGGTCGCATAGTCGATGACGGAACGATTGGCAATTGCATTGGCGCCTCTCTAAACCATCATCATTGAAATCTCTCGTTACATACGTCCATGGCTTTCACGGGGAGCTTTTCGAGAGCGGGCATGCTTTCGCCGCAGACTCTGGTATTTCGCTCGCCATCACCACGCACCAAGAACCAAATTGGCGTTCTCAGAGCGCATCTGAGTGAAGACGATGACCCTTTGTTCCTCAGTGCCAAAGAAGCTGCGGCTCTCCGTGTCATTGAGTCCCACCGACCGGGTATGTTCAATTTCACCCTATCATCTCGCTCAGACATTTCGTCGAACAGTGCGTGTGCACTTAGCAAATAAGTAGCATTATGTAGCAGAGCAATTTACTTCCTTGGTCAGGGCACTGCGGCCTTGAGCTTTGACACAAAAAAACTAATGGAGGTTATATACTCTTTCTTCATAAGATTAAATAATATATAGCTTGAGCCTTGAAGGCTCCGTTTCTGCAATTTCCACATTTCCTGAACATAATTTCAAAAACACAAATTCAAGATACCAATAAACTTGGAGTATATCAAAGAAAGGGTAAATTTAACGACAGTCGCCCATAGAAAATCACTTTAGGATACAATGGTCATAAGATGTCTTACAGAATGAGCAGCAGCAACATCAGGCACCCTTTTATTCAGTAACCTTTTCCACGTTTGTGAATAACTTGCGAGGTCCTGTCTTTGGAAACATTCAAGAGTAATTGACTTAGGATATTAGAGTACAAAGTATAAATGGATTATAACCAAAAAGGAACAAATCCCTTCTTAGTGATTTGGTATGTCATTTCTTTTGATAAATGCCCAATCATACTCATCCTGTCCACTCTTCTCATTGATGTGTCTTGCACAGCCTTATGTTGACCAGAAAATCGATTCTATTTTCCGTCTTGGATCATACCTCTTCCAATTAAATTTGAATGGAAATCTTGTTCGCGTTGCTCACTCTCTCTCACTTTTTCTTGAAAAGAAGGTACTTCAATAATTATCTTCCTGGACTTTGCTATATGCCATTGAATATCAATCTCCATGGTTGGCCTAAGCACCTTTGATAACAAATGAGCTAGCCTAAGCACTCCCAAGGAATCCTCGTAAGGAAATCTAGACTAACAATTAAAATTGATTCTATCAGTGTATCAACAAAAAAGCCAAAGCCTTGATTAGAACAACTCCCTGAAAGTCATTTACTGACAAAAACAGTAACCTACTGGAAATTACAAAATTATCCTGTAATATCCTACATCTACATCACTCATTCCTGATGAAATTTGAGAAATAGTTTCTTTTGTCAAATTTGATCTGCCATTAGTTCACCATTCTTTTAAGAATATTAAGAAGAAGCATGTCAGATATAATAATGGTTGTGGGTCTGGCGATGGTCACTGTCACCCATTGGCTTCTCATCACCCCCAAAAGCCCTAACTTACAATTTGATAAATGGCAGGGTCGCTATCACCAGAAAAATCAAGACCACCAGCATTTTGAGAATCAAAATCTACAATACAATAGAATCCCAACAGAAGAGAAGAGAGGGAGACAGTGTCGATTAAATGAGAAAGAGAGTGAGAAGGAGGGAGCGCGATTCACGTGAATGGTGTGGCCATACTCTTTGCAGCTTCTTCCAATAATTTCTCTAGGGGGAAGCGTCGATTAAGAAACAGAGAGGGTGGGGGCATTGCTGGATTGTGGAAGAAGTAAATTGCTCTGCAACATAAATAAATTAAAGAAGGCCATATATTGCTCTGCTAACATTCCCAATTCGTTATAATTCTGCTGTGGCTTATTTTTATATAAATGAAGGAGATGATTGTGTACATCTGTTCGACAAATATTTGTATGCAGATCCCCTCTTTGTTGATCAATATGCTGGCTGTTTGGTTTCTCCTAATCTTCAGATGGAGCAATGCTCTCACCACTATTGTGTTGCAACTAAGTTCTTAGATGATAAGTTACTTCAGAAAGTAAAACATATTAATGATGTTAAGCAGGTATTAGCAAATAATTACAAGAAAGAAGTCAGAACTCACCTTAGAACCTAACAACTCATTAGTTTTTCTAACGCTTCTCTTATATGTGCAGGTTGTGTTGCTAACAGATGGAATGGATACTAGACCATATAGGCTTCATTGGCCCACATCGACAATAATATTTGACATATCCCCAGACAACGTTTTCAAAAGAGCAGCTCAAGATCTGCAAGGTTTTTTCTCTCCAATTCGTTATATGAAGAGATCTATGTCTGGCTTTTACTGTTAATTATAGCTTTACATTGGGCTTTATGAGCTATCCAATTTATCGACCATATAGTTCTCTCAACTTCTAAAAGTAAAACACGTAACTGAGTTATACGTGTTCATGAAATTCATTGCAGCTATATGGTTCTTGGAGTTCATTGTAGAATATGATCTGACGTTTCTTGAAATTGATTAGGAAATGGGGCTAAGATTCCAAGAGGCAACTTTTTCTGTCATGTCCCATTCGAGTCCCAAAATATACAGCAAGAACTTTGCACTAGAGGTTTCCAAGGAGACCAACCGAGTATATGGGCAATGCAGGTAATGAACACTCTTGTTTACCGAATGAAAGAAATGAAATTTTGATTACAGTAGAGATGTGGGCCGAAATATTAAAGTGCTTCAGATATTACTATTTACTTATTGTATTTCAGGGACTGCCTATTAAGACTTTGGTAGATTTTGAAGATATTATGTTCATTGTTAGTAGCATGGCTATGAAAGGAAGCCTTTTCTTGGGTGAATTACCTTCTTGGTTGGCTGAAACTGAAATTAGGTCCATGGTTAGTTTGCTTTAGTTTTATTGAGGCATATTCATCTGTCTTTCAATTGCTTCTCTGCCTGTCTAAACATGTTACCATTTGTTTGATTCCTATCAGTCTAGTACAAGTACTGCGAAGTGGATGGACAAAATTTTTATGAGCAATGGGTTTCGGGTGAAAACAATCGTCCTCGAGGAAGTTGCAAGGAGATTAGGCAAGGAATTGAGATCGGGACCCTATAAGAATATTCCATTTGTTGCAGAACAATTACGTTTTTCGGACGACCAGGTAGAATAGTTTGTTCCTGCTGCCTGTTTTCTGGGCTCCTGCAAGCATTCTAAATCTAGTTTGATTTCAATGCTATTCTCTTTGGATTGATTCTTGGAGAAGTGGTCTTTCAGCTGTATTCTTTAATCTTGTAGTTGTTAACGCTTTGATTTTTATCTTCACATAAATAAGTTCTCTTCATTTTCTTTATTAGTGACTGATATACGAAATATAATCATTCTCAGATGGAAACTTGGAGGAAGGAATATGAGAGGATTGAAGACGGAGCAGATGAAGAAGGGTTTGAAGAACTTTGATTTTGTTCATAAAATTAGCAATTTTAATTTTGTTGTTTCATTTTTGCTCGTAATTCCCAATTGTAAATATTTACAGTCCATTCCATAATCCGGTTTAAATGTGCAAATCTAGAAGACGACAAAAAAAAAAGTGATATCTGATATTTATTAAAAAGATATAATTTTTTTTTTAATAGTTTCTTTTAACACATCTCGTCTAAGGTAATGGGTAACTCATCCTAAAGATAACATAAATTTACTATGTAGTTAAAAAAGTTTACAATTTTCTCGTTTCAAAATTTAATGTGACTACTTAAAAATTAAATTCTTACAGCTCACCTGTTGAACTAAAAAACAAGTTTAATATGTATTTAAAAAATTTACAACTTTTCATTTTTATCAAATATAATGTAAGTGGGATTTTTTGGTGTATTTTATGTTATGTATTTGAGCTTAAATTTGGTTTTTTATATAAAAAAAAAGTTTGAATTATACTGTTCCCATAGAATTTCAATCTTTTTGCTATATTTTAAAATACATTTATTTTTTGCTATTTAGGTAAATGTCTATTCCTTTTCGAACTTATAATTAGTTGATAAGTTGACCTCTTCTACTCCTAGTTAATCACAAATTAGGAGCAAAGTACATCTATATTTATTTTTGTTCGAATAAATTTTAATTTAGGTTATGTTTAATTAGATAACCATTTTATTTCTAATTTTCTATTTTTGAAATTTTAATTCTCTTTTTTATTGTTATTATCTACATTTTTTAAAAATATTCTCAAAATCCAAGCAAAGTTTTGAGAACTCAAAATTGGTTTTCAAACCACTCGTTTTTGTTTTTAAAATTTAAGARCTCAAATTTATTTTTAAGACAAGTAAAAGCATACTAAAGATTTTTTTTAATTACAAGTTTATTTCTTTTAAAATTATGTCTTCTAAAAGTGACTATTAGATAAAAATTAGTATGGATAAAGTTTAACTAAACCATAATTGAAAATTTAAAAACTTAAAGGTAAGATTTTTAAAATTACAAAGAAAAGCAGAAAAATTAAAAATGATAGGGACAAACTTTCAAAAGAAAAAAAAATAAAGAAAAGTTAAGCCTTGAGATGAGCTGATTCAGCCATTACATCTTTGATGAAGAGTGACAAATTGAGATGAGAAGATCCTCCATTTTCCATAGCTTTTGCGGCCATTTTCCCCAAATCTTCAGCTCTTCTTCTCTCTTCTCCTTCTTCTCCACCATCCATCACCATCCCAATTGCCTTCTCAATTTCCTCCTTCTTCACCATTACTCCCACTCTCTCCTCTTCCCCCCATCTCACAGCCCTCTCCACCGCCGCCCCAATCCTCACTCCAATCTTCAGAACCTCCACCACCAGCTTCTCGTTCAAGAACTGCTCTGCAAACTGCGGCCACGTGATCATCGGCACCCCGCCGCAGATCCCCTCCACCGTTGAGTTCCACCCGCAGTGCGTCACGAACCCTCCGATCGCTGGATGCGACAGAATCAGCACCTGCGGAGCCCACCCTCCGATGACCAATCCCCTGCCTTTGATTCTCTCCTCAAATCCCTCTGATACCCACTTCTCCAGCTCCTCTCTGTTCTTGATCACCCAGATGAAGGGACGAGCGGCCGATTCTAGAGCCAGCCCAATTTGGATCAGTTGTTGAGGATTCATTCGACATAGGCTGCCCAGACACACGTAAAGGACCGATTTTGGGTCCTTCGAGTCGAGCCAGTTCAAGCAATTGCTCTGTTTTATTGATGCTCTGTTTCCCCTCTCGTATTTGTCTGAACTCTTTTGGTTACAGAGCGAAACCGGCCCAACGCACCAGATTTTCTTGTTGATTGCTTCCTCGTACTTCTCGGAGTATCCTTTTTCGAGCTCTGTGAAGCTATTCACCAAAACCCCATATGCTCCCAACTCTGCCTCTGCGATTTTGTCTCGAAAATCGTGGAAATCAGGGGACTTGATCAAAGATCCTGGGAGCTGGGATTTCGTAATTTCGATCTCATGAGGCAGTCCCGGGACCAGAAATGGCTTGGAATCAGAATCAATGGAGGTGTGGGGACTGTGGAGCTGGAGATTGTGGGAGCTCAAGAGCGAGAAGCAGCCAGTGCCATGGAAAACGACTCTCGGGCATCGGAATCTGCGGGCTGTTTCGGCCGTCCAATACAAATACTTATCAGAAAGTATGCAGGTGGGAGGAAGAAGATGAAGGTCCAAGAACCGCTCCAATGGCTGCTGAAGCAAAGACAGAGCCTTGTAGAATTTCCTGAGAAGGGCACGAGAAGGCAGAGCATCGAGATTCTCGCAGCCGATTGGGAGGCCAACTTCCAGGCAAGGGAACGGGATTTGGAGGAGCGAAATCGCGAGCTCTGATTGCTCGGCTCGAGCGAAGAACTGTTCGAACCTGAAAGAGCAGAGCAGAGGCACACAATTTTACAGTAAAATTAGAAGAAGAAAGAGAAAAACTTAAATTTTTCTTGTTGGTTGTGTGGAACCTGGTGGCATTATATGGAGTGGTGACGACGGTGACATGGGCACCGCGGCGGGCGAGAAGAGCGGCGATGTCGATCATGGGGATCATATGGCCTTGGGCCAAGAGGGGAACTACAACAAAGTGGGGCTGAACCTCATCAACCTGGCTGCAGCCGGCGGAAGCCATCGATGGACTGAAAACAGAGGAAAATTGAGACGAGCTCTGTTTTTGAAGCCGACTTTACTAATACATATTTAAAAGTAAACCAAAACACAATATTTTTTTTTCTTTTTTTCTTTTCTTTCTGAAAGCCACTCATCAAGAGTTGTTAATGTATTTTCTCGCGTGTAGTTTGGTCTATATATATATAGTATTATATTTTATTTTGGTGGTTGTGATTACTGTTTCAAATAGTTTTTATCATTATTCAGTTCTCACATTGAAATGATAAGGACCTAACAAAACTTATAAGATAACTAAGTTACTATTTTCCTTGACAATTGATTTTGAGATGAAATCTCGTAAATGTTGATAAAGTATTAGAGTTCAAAAATTCAAACGAGAATTCAATTTAAAAATAGGATATATACGATTATGAATGTCGACAACTCACCARTGAATAGATTGATTTAAACGAAGTTATAAAAAGATTAAGTGTAACGAGATACCGAGGTAGGTTTATTGATTGGTAATTTTTCTTCTGATTATCGTCTTCGCAGAGAAGTTTTTAAGGAGCAAAATTTGAAATGGAGAGGTTTAGTGGCCTTGTTACCTACAATAAAATATTTATAATGTCTACTAACAAAAAGAGAGAGAAACAAAGACATATTATTAAGTAAAGTGTGAATATTAGGGTTAAAAGTTCTCCGTTAATGAGTAAATGTTGTTAATGTCATCTAATAACAATAGATAGTCTTATTAAACAACAATGTTATTGAAGTTACGTATGGATCATCCCAACTTCTAATAAAATACTTCGGCAATTGACAGTTTTGGATTGTTTTTGTAACAATAAGCATGCATGATCATGATGAGATATGATCGTCACCCTTTAGTCCAAGATGAAACCAATCAGCTACGTCCACCTAAATCGTCACAAACACTTATAGTCCCTAAAGGAAAGAATTGAATAACATACAACAAATACCTTATTAAACCTGAATGAACCACCATTTAATAAAAAAAAACTTAACTAATGGATTTGGTGGGATGAATTTGAAAAATTTAATTCATATATGACATGTACATAAATCACCTCTAATTTATATTAAGACTAAAAATATAATTTAACTTAAAATGATTGGGTTATTTTTAACAAAATCATAATATAAAAGTCAGTTTTAATATAACATAATGGAATTTAGAAAAAGGTAGTGGAGATGGAATAATGATTATATATATAGACTGATTTACTAAGTCTTTTTCTAACCTTTTTTTTTTTTTTTCTTTTCTTCTGGTTACCAACATAGCAGAGAAAAATGAGAGAAACTTCCATACAATTTCATAATCAAGACGTCATAGATCTTATCTTAGTTTTGAAATCACAATTTCAAAAAGCAAAGAAAAATCAAGTTGTGTTGTCTCAATTTTTCTCTTTACCTCCCTACTTTAGTTTTTATAACTATTGTGTTATTGCTTAAATAGTATATTATTTTGGTTTCTTAATTTTATTTTTATTGAAAAATAAGGTACATGGAATATGACTGGTTATTGGTATTTTTCATACCTGCATAAGTCATAAGTTTGTGATTGTAGATTTATAGTGATAGGGGTCATGGGGAATTAGCCCCAATAGAGACCTGCCCCATTGGCCGGGGAAGGAATTTTTTCCTATTTCAATTTTAGAGTGTAGGGTCCTTGTCCCCCGCCCGATCCCTACGTAGTAGCTATGAATATGATATTAAATATTTATCGACATTTTCATTGATATTTTCACGTGTACATGAGTTTGACATCGACATGAGGGGTTGATCGATATTTCTATAATATTACAACAAAAAAAAAATATCCACAAAATATGAAAAATACAACAAAATTTTATCAATATAGACATAATATATTTTAAAACTATTTAGAAATATCTATTGACATCGAAATTTAAAACATTCGCTACAAATATTTGAAACATATATATATATATATATTATCCGTAAGTGTTTGGACCAACTTTTTCTCAAATCATAATCATGAGGATTGAATCCATTTCCTCTCAATAACATTTGGTTCGAACTTTTTTTGTTGGGTGGGAATGAGCCAATTATTACTCCTAGAATGGCTTTCTTTGTCCTTCGATATTCTTGAGTATGGCTCCTTTCTCTTTTCAAGAAATAATTTTTCTTATTTGTGATTCTCATGCACCTCATTTCCTATTCCTACTCGTGCTTGGAGAGAGAATTGGCAGACTCCCCCTCCCTCATTCTGTCCTCTTTTTTCTGCATCAATCCTCATCTGGAACAAAAACCGTCAGAAACAACTAGCGATGAACCAAGCCATGATGGTTTCATAAGAAAATGCAAATATTATCTTGGTCCTTAAATCTATGGTACTTATTTAATTCTCGTAATTTTTTAAAATATCTATTTTATGACTCGTTTGTTAATGTTCTCGTTTTCTGCTGTTTTTCATTTTTTGAGAAACAGACATCTTTGGTAACCAATCCCGTTGAGAAACGTTTCTTTTACAGTTTCTGTTTCTTTATTTTGTGTCCAGACGCCTTCTTAAGTTAAATAATATATTTGTCTCACGTTTCAACAAAACATTCAATGGTCTGGTGGTGCATATGATCACTGGTGATGCATATGATCACAATTATATAAGAATTACAGAGTTTGGACATATGATCACTAGTGGTACATACGATCACAATTATATAAGACGTTCAGAGTTCGACCTCGAAATTTTGTGACTTTTTAT